AAATTGCGACCTCATACTAGAGCAAATAATTGCCTCCACAATCACACAACGATAGTGTGTGTGATCCCCATAGACCGACAAACAACGATCGAGTGTTTATCTCACTCTGCAATCAATCGTTTTGAAACGTCTGTAAGGACATTGATTGGCGTGCGAATATATCTGAGGTAACAATCGGAAGACCATCTTCCTAGCGTTTGAATAAGCCAATGAGGCAAACCTTGGGACGCAGCTATGGTAGCCGCTCCGATTCTAAAGCTGTGGCCTGCATAGTGAGCAGGGTGATGACCACCTTGGGCCAAAAGTGTTCGTAGTTCCTTAGTAAATTGACTACGGGATAAAGGAACACCGTTTGAGTAGCAAAACAATGGTCCCGCATAGTCCGTTGGCGCACGTGAAAGGTAGGTTTGAAGGGCCCTTACTGGACAATACATACCAGAATTGCTGCCAATGGTTATTGTGGCTGAGGCTCGAAACTGATCGGTTTTTGACGCTTTAATTCGTAGTTGCAGAAAAACCTCGTTATCCCCACGTTTTTTGTTATGAAAACTTACATCTGATCGGCAAAGGTTTGTTGAAGAATTATAAGGACCGGAGCAAGTCATTTCACCAATCCGCAAAAACCCGAAAAATGCTATGGAAATCGCTGCCCAAATCATGGTTTCATCATGTGTTGGTGATGTCCGTGAGTGTAATATGCGGTGAAACAATTTCAAATGGTCTAATGTAATTGGTAGGCGTGTTCTTGTAGACACTCCTTTTACTCGCTTTATACCTCGCAAAATATAGTGTAGGCGTTGAAATTTGGTGATTTGAAGGTCGTAGCCGTTAACCAAATGCATATGGCGTACTGCTGCGAGATAGACTTTGATGGTGTCTGGATTTACCGTCTTAGCGAGAAAAACAGCAAAGTAAATCAGAATGTTTTCCGTTGTTGGCAGAAGAGGCACATACTTATGTAAATGGAATTGATAGTAGAAATTCGTGAACTGTTTTTCGCCACTGCTATAAGTTTTAATCGTACCTTTAGCTAACGAAGCAAGTTGATAACGACGTAAGTCAGCGTCTAGAGACGAGAAAGTTCCTCTGGTAGAGGTTGAGGTTGATGGTCTGCATGCGGTGCTAGCCGCCGAAATCTGGTTTGCTGAAAACGGGAGATAGAATCAGCAATGTCATTATAATGACCAGGCACATGTAAGGCTTTGAAATAAAAGTTATATTTCAGTGTTTGTAAGGTTAAAGGACGCACTAAGTCCATAATACGAGGGCTTTTTGAACGTTTGGAATTGATTATGGAAACCACTGCCTGGTTATCGCAGTAAAACACAATTCGTTTTTGAGCCCATAAAGGTGCCCATATGTAGGAGGCTACCACAATAGCATAGAGCTCTTGCCAATCAATGCTGATATTTTTTGTGGTAAGTGTTTGGTGAGGCAACCATTTACCCTGAAACCACTGGTTGCGAAAAATTCCCCCAAAACCAAGGGTCCCCGAGGCATCCGTATAGAGAGAAAGGTTTGTAGAATTTTCCCAGAAAGAGTTGAGAAATAGACTTGTCCCATTCCAGTCTTTAAGAAAAAGTTGCCACATTTTTACGTCTTCGCGAAAACCATTCGTCAAGCGAATGTGATGATGTGGTTTGGAGACACCCCGTGTTAGATTTATGATACGTTGCAGAAAAGCTCGACCCGGGGCAATTACTTTGCATGCAAAATTTAATGTGCCAATTAGTGATTGGAGCTCTTGGAGTGTAGCTGACTTTTTTGTGTGCCACGAATTTAAATCAACAAATAGACGGTTCAATTTATCGGATGGAAGACGAGCCTCCATCTTTTGTGAGTCAATGATAATGCCTAGAAATTCTATAATGAGACTGGGTCCTTCAGTTTTATGCTCGGCAATAGGAACACCTAACGTGCGGAATGTTAACAACATGCTAGAAAGGCTAGTTTGGCATGCTTGAGAAGGTAGCCCAGTTTGGGCCGGTGGTTCCATGATGAGAAAATCGTCTAGAATGTGCCCAACATAGCTTATAAAACACTTGTTGAGTAAAATCCATTCAAGTGCATCCGAAAGTTGATTGAAAATATACGGCGCACTACGCAGACCAAATGGCAACACTTTGTCAAAATAATAGGACTTGTTCCAATATATGCCTAATAACTCCCAGTCGTCAGGATGAACAGGGAATTGACGAAAAGCAGATTCTATGTCAGTTTTAGCTAGATAAGTGCCTCTGCCTAATCGGATTAAAGCCGCAATTGCGTCGTCGATTTTTATGTACTGCAATGAAAAGTCGTCTTTCTCGATAAAGGAATTGATTGATTCTCCCGTTTTTGGAAACGAGAGGTGAAAAATGGTTCGAAATTTATCTGAATGCTTTTTAGGTACAATGCCAATTGGCGAAACCTGTAAATTAGCAAATGGCGGATTGGTGAAAGGACCAGCTGTGTGGCCAAGAGCAACTTCCTTAGCTAAGTTAGTTGAAACAATAGTTGGATTGTCAATGGCAGACTTGAGGTTTTTCGAAAATTTTGACATGCGAGGACCATCGTAACCGAGACGAGCACCGAAACGCAAGTCTGAACAGAGTTTCAAAACGAATGATGAATTGGGATGCCCACAAAGAGCACCTTCAAGCGCGTCAACGCGAATTGGCGTAACTATAGTATTATCTAAAGGTATTGAATTACTGCTATTATATATACTACACTTTAAACTAACAGTTCTATTTTCTGTTGGTCTTCGCGGAGCTACGGGCGGATTGTGAAGGGTGGTCGTCGTTGTGATCGTTTTCCCCACGGGATTGTGGACATTGGTACCCAGGATGGTTCCCCCCACAGCCAATTCGGTTACATCGGTGAGTGTAAGGGCAATTGGGTCGTAATGGGCAAGGTCTACCCCTGTTGTAGCTGTGGCAAATTCCGTCCCTCGCTGCCCCAGCTTTGTTTGAGGGTCCGTTAGAAAAAAGGGAATAATCTTCCCGCAACTGAGTAGAGCTAGCGGTGAAAATACGCAACCATAACTGCATGTCAATGTTGGCCCACGACAATGTTCGACACGCGGCGGCTTTATAGCGAAATTTATGATCATATATGCACCAGCCTAAACCGCCATGCGTTTTTGCCGCATGACGGATGGTTTCCATGTACTGTAAAAGTTCTGATGCACGATTTGGAAATTTTTGTACTATGATTAACATATACGTGTTGAAAGCGGTTGTCCACTCTTCAATGTTAGTCAGCACTTGAGGCTTGCGCGGTGTTAATGAGATTCCCGTAGAGGAAATTGTGAAACCCACGTTGTCAGAAGAATCGGAACCAACATTTAACTTATTTAAATTTTTTGGCAATAATTTAGCAAGCTCAAAAAACTCACCACTTTCGATGTCACGAACGTATTTGTTTGGAATCTCTGGCGTGAATCCCCCATCTGCTTGCTGGATTGAGGCAACAGGTCCATGGGATGAAGTCGGCTGCTGCTGGAGCTCGCTGGAACTTAAAAATGGAAATTGACCAAGCTGTTCTAGCCTTTCGAGTGGCGTTGGCGGTGGCGGGATAGTTGGCTGCTCATCTACACGAGTCGCGGTTGTTGTGGCGTGTTGGCTTTCGAAGAAAGACGAAATCGACTGCGAAACAATCTGCGTGATCTGTGCCAGTTGGTCGGCGCTGAAGCTTTCCCTTGCGTTGGAATTAGATAACGTGTTGTTTACTGGAACGGTTTGAATGTTGGATTGCGGCGTATTCGTGTTTAGACGTTCTCTTTCGTTTTGTAGACGCGTTGTAAGTACCCGTCGGCCGCCAGCGCAGGAAAAGTTGAGTTCGCGGCAAAGGTTCTTCAACTCTAAAATTGATAACTCGCCCAAATTGCTCGGTACTTCGACGGACGGTTGAATACTGGATGGTCGTTGATCCTGCTGACGAACTCGTGATCGTGGTTTGCTAACTCTTGGCATTATTTTTGGTGGACGTTTAGAAATGATAAACGTGAAACGATTAATTTTTTAAATGACTCTTTAAATCAGTCTTTACAGCTCGCAATCCAAGTAAGAATGATATAGGCAGATAAAGCTAACTCGGATATCTGCCCATGTTTAACTATAGTTTCATTGTTATAGTTATGAATAGGTCAAACATAGTGGTTTGGACAATAATTAATAAACGATACTGGGTGCAGTAGCCTACGGGTTTGGCAAGCAAATAATGAAAGTCTGTGATAGAGTCTTCCTTTGTTTAGACAATAGTAGCTTTCGAGTTGGCTTAACATAGACATTTTAAATCTATAATTTTTAGGTCTAGCGCATTGAGTATCGTCCATTAACAATAATTTGTACTCGTAAAAATTACCATTTAAAACACTGTATATTATATAATAAACATGCATTATATTGTCTCACTGCAGTATTCAGTTTATTAAATGCAGGTTTATAATTTGTCAATCTTTACTGTGAGGTATAGTAGTCAAATTTAATTCAAACGACTTTAAAAATAGTGCAGCAGACATTCTTTGAAAATTTTTGGTTGTCATTTTACCGGTAACTTTTTTCTTATATTTATTCAGTTTTATAGGCAAATTACATGTGTTCGCAATGGTCTTTTATCCCCATTTCAGTTTCTGCTTTCAGTTTACGTTTCTGCGATTTATCCCTACCCTTATTTTTCCAAACTCCTAAACTCTCCTTCATTCTCCTCTGCAAATCCTACCTACATCCCCCTTTAAAAAACCCTGCTGAAGAAGACTGTTGGGTCGAAACGCGTACAGGGTTGTCTTTCCTACTCTCTCCTTTATCTCTCGACTTATCGTATCCCACTATTTCGATCACCCCTGCTTTAGTTCCTATTATCATAATTGCCATAATTTATCACAATATATGCAGTTTATACTATTGAAGTTGGAGTAAATAACAATAAATTTGAATACTGGTCCTCTAAGGGACCGGTCATTATTTATGGAAGGGGGGGGGAATTTTTTCTTGTCTAATTTTTTAAAATTGAAAGCCCCCCCTAAAAGAGCAGAAATTTAATGATGGCCCCCCCTGCATATTGGAATATTTTTCTTTGACCCCCCCCCCTCCCCCATTTTCATTTTTGCTCGTCAAATGGGGATACCCAGGCGTTATAGTGTTAATTATTAAATAAGAATATGGAACTGGCAACATGTTAACGTTAACCAAAAATATATATTAGCGGAAAATTATATAATTAAAAGAGGAGTATTTTTATATATAACACTAAAATCAGGTTTTCATTTGGTCTGGGCAATTGTAACCATGTTTAAGGCTGCAACTAGACTCCTGATGGTATCGACGTATTACATAGCAGCCCAAGAAAGCAACAATGATAGCAACAATCAGTAGTATTAGCAGCAAAAGGAGATAGCAATGACAATTCTGCCAAGACATACCATGAAATACAATGTATAGTGGTCTATACATCCTATTTTCTGTGAGATTAAAAATTATATAAAAATAAAATGACATATACTAGCTACCAGATAAAATCCTTTAGAATGAGCATGGTGGGTGGGTGGGGAAAGGTATCGGCGCTAAAACTTGCTGCAACTAGGCAAAGCATACACTGGCAGAATGAATAATTCAGACCGAAGCACTGATCACAAGGCATGAAACAAACTTTGATCGATATGACGTCACAGAATCCCCTTGATTTGCATACAGCACACACAAGACAAGATGAATCCAGACTATTTCACATCAGTGACCATGATTTATAGTTGCAACATTTACAACCAAATGGATACTCAGGTTATTACAAATTCCTTCAAATTTAATTGCAACCCCCCATCATTTTCTTGAAAAAATTTAATAGCCCCCTTCTTGTCATTTATTTCTACATATGCCCTTATTTCCCCCCCCTTCCATAAATAATGACCGGCCCCTAATTATTTAGGTTACACAATGTCTTGCACCAGTACTTGTCCCATTACCTATTTTACACAAAAAAATGTGAACATGAACATTCCTTTAAATTATTCAGCTGCACAGTGTTCAAATTCAGAACAAGTGGGAAATTTGTTGCGCATGCACCAGATTTCCATTGAAACTTGAAAATTTCCCCAAAGAAATAACGAGATGGTCGTAGTTGTTGTATCTTTGTGAATGCCTGTTTAATCTTTATAATTTTTTTTTCTTGAGGCAAAGTAATATGTACTCTGTTTCAAGTGTAAGAATATCTCGTTTGAACAGCAATAGAATATTATAATCTTGACACAAACAAGAAGGGCCCAAGAAAACATTTGACATGCTAAATCTGCAGTCTTGCCCAAGGTAAAGCCAATCATCGAGAGCTTGACAGCCTTGTCGAACGCAAAACAAGTACAAATTTGAGTTCAAGCAGAAAGAAATTCAATGTTAATATGACTATATACTAATATGGGTGGTTTAAAATGTTTGAAATTGAATTTTCAAAGCGGCTTTTATCTATCAATATGATAATCAATGTGAAAATGCCGGCTTTTGTTGACGCCTTGTAAATGCAAAATAACTTCCCACAAACAGAGCATTTCTACACAAAACTTTCACTTAGCCTTCAGATGCACTTGTACGTTTGGTTCTACTAGTTAAACAAGGAAAATATCCAAGAAACACTGGTAAATTAACACTGGTAAATTATCATTGTCAAAAAAACATTTCAGTGCTGAGGCAGTAGCAAGGTCTCAAGGGCAAGGTCAAGTTGTCGATTTCATTACATTTTACAGTACTTCGAATGTTTTTGAACTCTTGCTTCATACAAGGATTACAAAAGCAGTAAACACACACATTTCAAAGCAAAATTAGATGCAAAGGGGCAATTTTGCAACAAAATTTATTGTTAAATTCTGTTTCCTATGTGTGCTTTATGAGCAAAAAAATATGATTTTGAATTTGGAGGAATCGGTAATTTTTTTGCAATTTGGTCTGGTATTGCACCCTATCTATGTACTGACTGTGCTGCAAAAGTAATCAAATATACTATTTTTAATTTCCCTTCATTTGAAAGGATCTATTATTGTGGAGTTAACTAAATTTTAACCGGCATATAAGGCTGCAAACAACAGCCAAGAATTAGCTGGGTAGTTTTCAAACTTTAAAATAATTGGACCTCAAACTTTTATCTCCAAAAGTAAACAAATAGCCAATAGCCAATTTCCTGCAGAAACTAAGCTTTTTTTATTGGGAAAAATTTTACTTTTCTTAAAAAATACTTTATAAACATGGAAACCTTAAATATTTAAATAATTTTCATACCTTTTTGGGATAGCAAAAAGCAAAATTTGATTCCTTATCACACTTTTTAAAATATATGAGACAAAGTTGCTTCGAAATCAACGTCACACAGTAGAATGTTTATTTACCCTCATCCTTTTGACTGAACAAAGTTTATCTTTTTGAAAAGCTATTTATAGCTCTTGGTTAGCAGTTTACGTTTTATATGTCGATTGTGGCACCCATGAGACCAACAAGTTGTGGTAATCCGTGAATGAAAATGGATTTTTGAAGAGCACAAAAGCCAACTCCTAGCTATGTAACTTTATTGCCTGACTTTTGAATCAATCCACAATTAAAATGCCGAGTGTAGATGCTTTCCATACTTGAGATGTTAGTGAAGTTTTTCCTGCAATTTAATTTCCTTGATCGCTGTCTCAAAAATTCAAAATCATAAGTTGAAATTTCTCTCATGTTGTTTTTCAAATTTTTGAATTTTTGTAAAATATCATGTGCACCAGCAATTTCTCTGCACAGCGACAACAAATTTCCCAGCTGTTCAAATTCAGTGATGATGATAAAGTTACAGGTATGACACCAGGACCTCTTCCTCAAAGGATCTCCTGCAAAAAAAAATTTTACCAATCAGATTTCTGAACAGCCCTAAAAAGGAATTAATCAATGTCCCACTAATATTTAGGTCCTTTCTTAGGTCCATCCTCAAGACCAATGCAAATTGATTCTGGAACACAACATAATCCTGTTGACCCAACTAATCAAGGTTAAGCTTCATTGCAGTCATTTACTTTATAATTTTTAGTCAGGCTAATAGTATTAAGACTTTCTTTTATCAATTAAAGGTAGTAAAACATCTAATTATGCTAAACAGAATAAAGTGAACAAGGTTTATGCTCGGCAGAGAAAGCAGACTCCGTAAAGCTGTAAATATGAAAAAGACGAAAAGCAACAACTGTAAGCCTCACTACTTTTGAACGAGAGGACCAAATTCAGTTCGTAGGCTTACGTGTGAGTATAAGTCAGAAAATTTGATGAATCGGTTGGAAAACGCTCCAAACGCACGTGGCGAAATAGTTCAGAATATAAACAAATTCTGACAAAACCAACGGCAACGAAATACACGATCGCAAACTCGAGACGATAGTTTCAATTAAGTATATAATTTCAACAAAAGTCTTTAACGTGTAAAACGCACAGTAACCGTGAACATAAACGTGAAACGTGGTTCGACTAAATAGAATAGATATAGACCTAAATTAATACTAAATCGTATAAACTGACTATATAAAACATAACTACACAATAAACTTATGAACTGCATGCACATGAATTGTCACTTACAGATGTTTTCCCTGTCGCTCTTTTTCGTCTATTCTTTTACCATAAAATCCTCTAAAAGATGTAGCAGTTCCTCTCTCTTTGAATTACAAAACTATACTGACCCATGCACTGGTTTGCGTGTCATGATGTACACTTGTCATATAAACCAATTATGAGATAAAATAAAGGCTGATTATCTATACTAACAAATGTTCGACTGCTATGTGATCATTAACAGATGCGAGTGTCATTCACAATGATGCACTTATTTAGCTTAACGTCTTAATGTAGCTTTCCGATCCAACATACCGGCCCCTAAATGCGAAACTATTTATGTGAAGCATTTCCCAAACATAAATGGATCGAAAAGTAAAATTATCTATTAATAAATCTATAACATGCAAATATGTTCATGCAATATCAAACCGTTCACTTGGTTCTTCCTTCTCCTTCCATGTGTTCCACTGTCTCCAACAGGACTATCTTCGCCACCGGCCGGTCCAAGATTGTAGACTTCGTTCTCACCGAGACACTTCGCACGAGCTTATCTTTACTGTTCCGGTGAACGTCGACTATCCTACCCAACGGCCAGCTGCAACGAGGCGAGCTTTCGTCAACGAGAAGCACAATATCTCCCACGGCAAAGTTCCTTCGAGTGTTGGTCCATTTTTGTCGTTCTTGCAGACGTGGTAGATACTCTTTTACCCAACGTTTCCAGAAGATATCTGCAAGGTATTGGACTTGCCTCCATCTGCGACGCGAATGGGTATCGTTGTTGGTAAATACACCGGGGGGAACGTGGGATCCTTTCCGGAGCAGTAACAGGTGGTTTGGAGTGAGGGCTTCGAGATCTTTAGGATCGTCCGAGACTTTCGTAATTGGTCGGCCGTTCACAATTGCTTCGACTTCGCACATGAGGGTGTACAAACGTTCGTCGTCAAGCACTTGCTCTTTCGTAATTGCATTCAGAACCTTCCTTACCGTACGAATACAACGTTCCCAAACACCTCCGTGGTGAGATGCTTTGGGTGGGTTGAAAGTCCATTTCACATTTCTCTGCGTCAAGAACTGGTTGATCTTCTCTGGATTCCACAAGTTGATGGACTCCCGTAACTCTCTATTTCCTCCAACGAAATTCGTTCCGTTATCGGACCGTATCTCTTCAGGCTGACCCCGCCTCGCTACAAATCTCCTCAACGCATTGATAAACGAGTCAGTGTCCAAATTGTTCGCAATTTCGATATGTACCGCTCGAATCGCCAAACAAGTGAACAGTACACCGTATCTTTTCACATGACTTCTACCGCGTTTCACTGTGAAAGGCCCAAAACAATCTACGCCTACGTTAGTGAAAGGTGGTTTTCCAGGTGTGACACGATCTTCCGGAAGATCTGCCATCTTTTGCTCACCAACAGGTGCACGTCTCTTCTTACAATCATGACACCGTCCTAGTACGCTCTTGATTGCGACGCGAGCGCCAACAATCCAGTATCTTTCTCTTAATAATGCTAGAACATGCTCCAATCCAGAATGGGCAGAAATGTCGTGGTAATACTCGATGATTAATTTCACGACATGATGACTTTTTGGTAATATTACAGGATTCCTCGCTTCATCTGAGAGTGTTGAGTTTCGCAAACGTCCTCCAACGCATAAAACGTCATTCTTCGAGATCGGGTCAAGCTTGTAGATTGGACTTGATGGTTTGATTGCTCTCAAGTTGCCATTGTTTTCGGCATTGGAACTTTCTTTCTTTCGAATAGCTGCAATCTCAATTGGGAAACTTTGTTGTTGTACAACTTTGACGATTTCGTGTTCCGCTTCTTGCATCTCTTTAACAGTCATCGGCTGAATCTCTGTGTGTTTCGGTACGGGCTGCCCTCGAGAACGTCTTTCGCGAGCTTTACGTAATGCCGACCTGTAACGCAGCAGCCAGGCAACAAACCTTTTCAAACGGTACCAGGAGGAAAATCTGGAAAATATTTCACTCATGTTGTAAAAGGCGGTGGGATTAGTTGTGACTGCCAGAGATTTGCATTTCTTTACTTCTGGATCGTCCTCTTTAACTTTGGAAACATCGTTGATCTCCAGTTTCGGCCAGCAGTCTTTTGTTTTCCATAAGAACTCTGGTCCATCCAGCCAACGTTTGTTCTTCAGCAGATCCTCTATTTCCAGTCCTCTCGACGCGTCGTCAGCAGGGTTAGATTTCGTGTCAACGTAGTTCCATTGAGATGGTGATGATGCATCGTGAATTGTAGACACGCGATTTGCAACGAAAGTGTGGAATCTCTTGTCTTCATTCGAAATATAACTTAGTACACACGTACTGTCCGTCCAGAAGAACGAATCATTGATTGGAATATCGATTTCTTTCCTAATCGTCTTGTCTAACTTCGTTGCCAAGACAGCTGCCGACAATTCCAACCGTGGAATTGTAACTGATTTCAACGGTGCCAACCTTGATTTGCCCATCACAAACGCGCAGTGAACTTCTTCTTTCGCGTCGATCATTCGTAAATACGAAATAGCACTGTAGCCACGCTGTGAAGCATCAGAGAAGTGATGTAACTCGGACGAAGCGACTTCGCTGAATCCAGGCGGCTTAAAACAGCGTTTAACTTTGAGACCTTCCAACTTAGGTAAGTCTTTCAACCATGCTTCCCAACGTTTAATGTAAATATCCGGGATTGGGTCGTCCCATCCGATATTCATTCTGCACAGATCCTGCAGGATTTCTTTGGCAAGCAGAATGAAGGGCGCTGCGAAACCAAGGGGGTCATACACCGAAGACACAACTGACAGAATTCCTCGTCGCGTAAGTGGTTTATCTTTCAATGAGATAGAATATCCAAACGTATCAGCTTCAACGTTCCACAAGACACCGAGAGCACGTTCGGTTGGTAAATCCGCAAAGTGGATTACTTCTTTAAACGACTTCGATCTTTCTAACTCGGGAACCGACTCAATTACCTTTCTGGAATTTGACAGCCACTTTGTTAGTCAAAATCCACCTTTGGATAGAAGAAGTCGCAATTGCTCTGCCGTGTTAATCGCTACCTGTTCATTTTCGGTTGACTTGAGGCAATCGTCTACGTAGAAGTTGCGCTTGATAGTGTTGATGATTTCGGAATCGAATTCTTTCGCGTTGTCGTCAGCGGTCCGTCGTAGGGCGAAGTTAGCACAGGTTGGTGAAGATATCCCGCCGAATAGATGAACCAACATCTGATACTCTTCAGGTTCGCGGTTGAGGTCGTTCTCAGGCCACCACAGAAAACGTAAGGCATCGCAATCCTCGGATCGGACTCGCACTTGGTGGAACATTGCTTCAACGTCTGCCATCATCGCCACTGGTCCTTCGCGGAATCGCGTCAAGACTCCAACCAAACTGTTGGTAAGGTCCGGCCCCTGTAACAGTTCCTTGTTTAAAGAGGTACCCCCGCATTCGGCTGCACAATCGAACACGACACAAACTTTATCTGGCTTCTGGGGATGGAAAACGGGGTGATGTGGTAGATACCAGGTAGTATTGCTTTGTCGATGACGTTCTTCCTCTGGTATTTTCCTGGCGTAGCCTTTCTGCAGGAGATCTTGCATGAAAGCTGAATATTTTTGAAAAAGGTCGCTATCTTTAGTTAATCTTTTCTTCAACAACATTAACCTACGTACTGCGATAGACTTGTTCTTTGGCAGAGACGGCTGTGTGTTCTTCCAAGGTAGGGCTAGTTCGTAATGGTTGTCTTTTAATCGAACGCTTTCTTCCATGATCTTCAACGCTCTTTTGTCCAGGCATGACATCGCTACGTCGTCTTCTACGTCATTAAATTCCCGATTGCAAAATTGCCGGAAGATTGTCTCCAACTCGTTGCTCTGAATGAAGTTAGCCGTTGCAGCTTGATGATCGTTACGACCCAGTGGTCCGTTTACTGTCCAACCCCAAACAGTTCTCACAGCGTACGGGCCATCTGAATTACTTTCTACAACCTCTTTAGGTTGCAACGCTTTCGGGACGTCATTACCAATTAGGAGGCCGACTTCGCAGTCAGCTTCATCGATATCAATGCCTTCGAGATGAGACCAACGTTCTACATCGCTTTTGCGTGGGATATCCTCTCTGGATACTGGCAACTTGGAAACAGAAAATACGTTAGGAATTTCAACAGCATTCTGACCATTCAAATCGCTAACTTCAATGCTGACGACCGAGCTCTCCAATTTGCTCCTTTCTTTTTCCATAGTGGTCAGGGATAGTGTTGTTTTGCTGCCTTTGACCGCGAGTTGCTTCAACAGTGATTCGGTAATGAACGAAGTGTTAGAACCACCGTCGAGAAAGGCGTATGTTTCGACCGTTCGACTACCTTGTTTTGCTCTCACCTTCACTGGAACAATCGGCAGCCCTATCACACGAGATTCGCGACACTCATCATCTGTGTTAACGTAACCGTTATGCACATTATGTTCGTCGACTTGAGATTGCTGAGGATTGGCGTTTTCGTTTTTTGGGTTTTTAGCCGTTTGGTCTCCGTCGGTATTTGCTGGCTTTCGATGCAGGAATGTAGAGTGCTTGTACTTGCATCCGTCCATCTTGCAGAAACTTCTTTTCTGGCACGAACGCGCCACGTGACCAGGTACGAGGCAATTGTCACATAACTTTAAGGAACGCACGAGTTTAAACCGCTCTTCGATCGATCTTTTCTTAAAGTCGTCGCACCGAGAAAGCCAATGACCGCTTCCACAAGATGGGCATTTCACTGCTGTACGAGGCGAGTTGTCGTCATTCCCCTTTGTTGCAAAGGCTGATCCTCGAGTCGATTTCGTGTTCTTTCCAACAGTGTTTTCGGATTTCGTTTCTCTCGAAATCTTGCCAAAAATTGGGTGATTGCAGGCTCTCGCTCGTTTCTCGACAAATAATGCGATGTCCTCGATTGTGATCTCGCGTTGTTTGACTTCGGTGATGTCATCGGCTACGTCACGCCACTTTTGTCGCAAACCAAAAGGTAACTTTTCCATAATCTTTTGTAAACTATCGGGATTTTCAATTTTACTAAGATAGCCAATTTGCTTGAGGGCATTTTTACAAGTTGTTAACATAATGGAAAACCGCTGTAAACTTTCACCGTCCTCAGATTTAATTGATGGGTAATTAGTTACACGCTCAACATACGCTGTGGCAATCTGATAATTTCTTCCGTATTTTGTTTTTAGAAGCCGACGTGCCTCTTTATACCTTTCTTCGGGACTCATTGATAAACAACTGCGCATTAGATCTTGTACGTCACCTGATGTGTATTGTAAAAGATAATATAGTCTAGAACTGTCACTTTGGGTTTTAGACTCTATCAATTGTTCAAAAGCTTGAATGAAAGTGTGGAAATCGATTGGGTTACCATGAAAGATGGGCACCTTAGGTGACGGAAGTGTCAAAGCCAATGTTTGCTGTTGTTGCTGGATTAATAACTCTACTATTTTTGCATCTTGAGTGTGAGTTTCTTGCGAAGGGTAGACTGATTGTAATACTGCCAAATTTTCCTCATTTCCTATCGTGTTTAATTGTTCATTTGCGAGGGTGTCAGGCCTATTAAGATCTGTCAAATTCGTCTGACACCTAGAAACTTCGTTCCTATTAACACTCCAATCTTTAGCGTGGGGATTAAGTGGTGTTGACAGTAAGTTCTGAGTGGTTGGTAATTGGTTTACAGCTTCGAGGTTTATTCTAGAATGTTCTTCCCTGGGGCATCCCATTACTTTAGAGTTAACAATTGAACACGCACGCAATTCGTCACGACATTGTTTTGGATTGACATGTTCGGGTTGAGACGCGCCAATTTCGCTGTAAGTACGCTCTTCGGCAGCCGCTTGCGCTATTTTAGTTTCGAGTTCGAGTTCTTCTCTTTTTTGTTTAAGACAAAGCTCTTGTTGTTGGAGCTCTTGTCGCCGTTGAAGCCTGATCGCTTCTTCTTCTAGAACTGCCTTTCTTGCGGCAGCAGCAGCTTTTGCGCTAAACGCTGAACCCTTACTGGAGACTCGAGAACTCATTGAACCGATATCAGAGCGTACAACTTTTGACTTGCGTGAAGACTTTGAACCGCAGTCTGTGCGACTGCAAATATTACTCACGGAATCGCTAGGTCTAATTTCATTAAATTGTTCCGTTCCGTTTTTATGACAGAATTCGTTATTTTCAAGCCAAGTTTTTATCCTATCTTTAAATGCAGATGTTCTGCGTACTTCAACACTATAATAAGCTTCCGATTCCTGTACGTCATCTTCATCAGTTAAATTTGCGTGATAATTTCCATGTGCCAAAGTAAATTTTCTTAAAGATTCTTCAAAATCGTAATATACGCTCTGAACACGTTCCAAGTTATTAACATCCTTAACTAACTCGGCGATCTCATTTATTTTACGCGTGACGTTAGCTTTTGCGGTTTTTCTGGCCATTTTACTTCGGTAAATTTGTGTCGCATGATCCTGAACCGCGCTGTCCGCGCAACGATTTGAATCGAGTTCGTGATCGCTTATTTCTGTACTGATCTGGTCAACAGTTTGATTGGTTGCGTTTGGATCCATACTACGGTTGTGTGACTGATAATTTGATTTGAATGATGAACCGATAGTTTTTGTTCAACTTGGGCAACACAGTCAACTCAAAATGCCAAACAAAACGTGGGCATCTTCGAACTTATGTAAGCCTCACTACTTTTGAACGAGAGGACCAAATTCAGTTCGTAGGCTTACGTGTGAGTATAGTCAGAAAATTTGATGAATCAGTTGGAAAACGCTCCAAAGGCACGTGGCGAAATAGTTCAGAATATAAACAAATTCTGACAAAACCAACGGCAACGAAATACACGATCGCAAACTCGAGACGATAGTTTCAATTAAGTATATAATTTCAACAAAAGTCTTTAACGTGTAAAACGCACAGTAACCGTGAACATAAACGTGAAACGTGGTTCGACTAAATAGAATAGATATAGACCTAAATTAATACTAAATCGTATAAACTGACTATATAAAACATAACTACACAATAAACTTATGAACTGCATGCACATGAATTGTCACTTACAGATGTTTTCCCTGTCGCTCTTTTTCGTCTATTCTTTTACCATAAAATCCTCTAAAAGATGTAGCAGTTCCTCTCTCTTTGAATTACAAAACTATACTGACCCATGCACTGGTTTGCATGTCATGATGTACACTTGTCATATAAACCAATTATGAGATAAAATAAAGGCTGATTATCTATACTAACAAATGTTCGACTGCTATGTGATCATTAACAGATGCGAGTGTCATTCACAATGATGCACTTATTTAGCTTAACGTCTTAATGTAGCTTTCCGATCCAACAACAACATAGATAAGCATACCATATTAGACGCTCTTCTGACCATGCTACCAGAAAAAAATTGTAACTCCAGATGGACTTGAACCAGAAAAAGAATACAGGGAAACTATACAGTCCTGAGATGAAAGCATTCGCTCTTTCCCTTTATTACATCAGTGGAAAGGCATACAAATTGTTGTCAAAATTCTTCAAGCTTCAATCCAAAAGCAGTCTGATGAAATGGGTAGCTGCATTTCCAACTGCTCCGGAGCTGACCCCAGCTGCAAAGGAAGCTCTAGCCAGAAAAGTCAAGATTATGAGCGAGTCCAGTAATTTGTGTACTATCACAATGGATGAGATGGCCCTTAAGGCTGACCTGTTGTACGATCCTGGTAAAGATCAAGTCATTGGTGTTGAAGGTGTTTTTTTTTGGAGAAGCAGCCTCATTGCAACATCTGCACTAGTCTTCATGGCCCGTGGTATAAATGAAAACTGGAAGCAGCCCCTGGGATATCTTCTAGTCCATGAATCCTGCCTCAGTGATAAGATCAAAGCTACATTGTTGGACATGATTGATGAAATAACATCAATTGGACTCCATGTTGCAACTGTTGTTTCTGACTTGGGCTCCAATTTCCAAAAGATGATTAAAAGCCTTGGTGTAACACCAACACAACCATGGTTTTGGCACAAAGGTAGAATGATCTTCTATCTATTTGATGCACCACACATAATAAAGGCTTGATGAAATATAACTTTCATTTTGATGAAAAATTGGCTTCTTGGGATCACACACAAGTAGCATACAACAGAGATCAACTACAACCCATATGCTGTTGTCCCAAGCTCACACAAAGGCATTTAAATCCTAACGGATGTGAGAAAATGAAAGTCAAGTATGCCACACAATTGCATCAATGCTTCTAATATATGTGTCCCTTGGTGCTTTATCACCAGTTGCTTCTGGAACATCTGAATGGACCATTTGCATTATAAACTAAATTTTGATATAAACAAGTCTAGACAAAAATTTCATCACCGCTTGAAAGAGCATCACAAAATTAGTAATATTCCAAAGTTTCGTTGCGAAATGTTGTAAAATGCGGATAATATAGCCTTGCGAAGTTTGCCGTTTTTCAGTCATTTTGTATTACACACGGGAAATTGACAGCCCAATCGGGGGGTGTTGGGCCTTGTCAGGTCCTTGTCCAAAAGAACACCAAAGGACCCTGTAATCGACAATGCCTGGAAATCGAAAATGCCTGGACAAACACAAATTCCTTACTTGTGCACATAAGCTTACCGTGACCAGCCTGATCAACAGCAGCCTGCTACTGTGCTATTTTAAAGCTTATGTAAACAAGAGTGACTTTGGAGGACTGTTCCTCAAGAGTAAGTCAATAGAATAGAGAGCAAAGTTGTTGATGAACTTAGTTGTTATGTCCAAAGATCAAAAAATTGCAGAGCACATAATTGCACTCTCGTTCCCCGAACCTGCGATCCTCGGGAAGGAACGCGAGGCTCTGGGATAATCCGTGTCAGGGAGGAATCTGATTGGCCATTGAAATGGTATGCGTAGTTCAATCTTAGCCAGAATTCCTGGCTTCCAGCAACGGATTATCCCAGAGCCGCGCGTTCCTTCCCGAGGATCGCAGGTTTGGGGAACGAGATTGATAATTGCAATGTTTTGTGTATAGAGTGTTCTTATTTCCCATAATGCGTTTGCATTACATTTTAAAGTTCAACAACCAAGAATTAAGAGCAAAAAAGACAGGAAAAAGAAAAAACAGAAAGTATATCAAGATTCAGCCCTTATGAAAACTGAATTATGTTGAATTTAATATTGAAATATTGTCGACTGTCTTGGATTGTGTTGAGTGACAGAACTGTATTGAACATTATTACTATAGGCAGGGATATTTTCAAGAACTTTAGTTTTTCAGAAGAAGATTGAGTTTCTTTGGGGGGGGAGGACGTTAAAATATTTTGTGTAGGAATGCACATTCCAAAATATTTTGGCGGGGTGTAAAATACTTTGGGACCGACTTTTACGTGTTTACAATCTGGAAGGGAGAGTTCCTTGAGGTGCCAACGGAGTGGGAAAATTTTGAAACTTTGAAGTCTCTAGATCATCGGAAATGGCATTTTCAAACTTTAGTGTGGCCATCAGCTGGTTGTCGAGCACAGAAAGGAAGTTGATTCAGGCAGTGTATAATGGCAATTAGCAATTCTGTAACCTTACTTATTATTTTTGGGCACTGCCCATAAAATAAATCTCACAGAAACAATTTTGCGTAATGTTTGCACCGGGACGATTGGGACCGATAAAAATGGTTCATTCGGGACAGACTTTTTTTACTATTTCTAGTGTGAATGGGCATGATTGTGAGGGATAAACTTATTATTGAAGGGCGAGTGTTTAATAATAGTAGGTCTTGAATGTTTGAAACCTGATAGTCTTAAAAATACAATAGTCCATATCCTTATTAACATAACACAATTTTATAATCTATTTCTTTCAAGGTTTTACTATAAACCTTTCCAATGACCACCCTGAACAGTGAGCACAAGAAGAAATGTTCTTCTTGCTTCAAACCTATCCAAAAAACACAAAAATCTATTGAATGTTTAACATGTAGCAAATGGTTTCACGCTGTATCTGCATGCACAAAGTCATTCAACTCCAACATAGATATATATCACACTACAACTGATTTGTGTCAACATTGCGTAACTAATGCGTTACCTTTTTAATCACTTGATGATTTAGATTACGAATTTACTGTCTCAAACGGAATCAATATCAGTGAAGACGAAATGGATAGACTAATGCATTTGAAATTCAACCCTTTCGACATGAGTAATAATATTGCGCTATCTGAAAACAACGCAAATCTCGATAAATCGTCAAAAATAAACTGCGAATATTATCTACCAAATGATTTTAAAAAACAAATAAATAATGAAAATCTAAATAAATTTTCGATGATGCACTTAAATATTAGAAGCATAATTAATAAGTTTGACTCTTTTAAACAATTAATATATTCATTGAATAAACCGTTTCAGATAATTGGTTTAACTGAAACTTGGCTAAAAGAAACTATAACGAAGATCTATTTAAACTAGAAAATTATGATTTTGTAAATGTAAACACGACAACTAAAAGTGGAGGAGGAGTTGGCATTTATATCGCAAATGAATTGAAATAGAAAATACGCTTCGATTTAAACACAAGTACTGAAAATATAATTGAATCCGTCTTTATTGAAATTATAACAGCTGTAGGTAAAAATATAATAGTAGGTGTAATATATAGACCACCAAATAATAAATTTGACTCATTTGAAACTAAAATGAACCAAATACTAGGAAAGATAGACAAAGAAAACAAATTATGTTATCTTATGGGAGATTTCAATATTGATCTATTAAAATCAGAATCTTGTGATTACAGTATCAGATTTCTGGAACAACTCTACACATTATCATATATCCCACTTGTGCTAAGACCAACAAGAATCACTCAGCATACGGCTAATTGACAATATTTTCACCAATGACATAGAAACTATAGAATCAAGCACGAATGGCTTACTGCAGTTTACGAAACTGTAGTTTACGAAATGAAACGAAATCTGCAGTTTGCGAAATCTGTAATTTGCGAAATCTGTAATTTGCGAAATCTGTAATTAGCGAAATCTGCAGTTTGCAAAATCTGTAATTTGTGAAATATCTGTAGTTTAGGGTAAAATAAAAAATGTTCACATGTTCCGAGGGCGAGGCGTCAACAGTACAATTAAATTCTGTGCAAGTTAACCTAGTTAATTAAGAACCTACCTGAATACACAAAGTCATAATTGTGATAAAATGTTATCACAATAAATTGCTTTACTTGTATTAGTTATATTTCAGTGGCAGTGTCAAATAAACTTCTTTATATAATTATATGTCTGAGACTGTAAAATGTAAAAGTTTAAGATTGAAAATACACCATTGCCAGCAAATTGATTGGAAATTTTGCCCTGACTATGGGATTTTCCCGGAAATTCTTCAGATGGTCAAGTGGATCGCAGCCGCGAGGTTTGACATACAAATGTTGGTGATTGCATCAAAAACTTTTGAAAAGGTAAACATTTTTTTTACTTTCTGCTATATGTTTTCGCAAACTGCAAATTTGAATAGCAATCTATCTAGAGATTTCGCAAACTGCAGATTTCACAAACTGCAGTTTCGCAAACTGCAGATTTCGCAAATTACAGATTTCGCAAATTACAGTTTTGCAAAGTGCAGATTTCGTTTCGTTTCGTTTCGTGAACTACAGTAAGCCAGCACGAATGGGTTAATTTTTTGTGATATCTCTGATCATTTACCAATAGTTCACATACGAAATTCAAAAAATTACCATGAAAAAACTTCAAAAACTGAATTTACCTGAAAAAGGATTGTCAATGATGCCAATGTTCAATCATTTACTAATACAATTAAAAATATATCATGGGAAAATGTGCTTTCTGAAAACAACGCTACAGAGTCCTACAACAAATTTTTCAACTTATTTTCAACATCCTATGAAAAAACTTTTCATTAAAAAAGAAAGTGACAAAAAGAAAGATTGACAAAAATCGAAGCCCATGGATGACAAGTTGTATTGCAAAATCAGTTAAACAAAAGAACAAGTTATATAAAAAATACCTCCAATTAGTGGGGGCGGATATAGGCAGATTTTTATCAAAATTGTTCACTTTTGGTTACAAGCATCAAATTTTGCACAGATATAGTTTTTTTACATGATGAACAAGATTTGATATGGAGCCATCCTGAAATATGTTGCTGGTGACCGATACGTGCAAATTTCAAAATGGCCGCCATTTTGAACCGGAAGTAAAATTTCCCCAACCGGAAGTAGTTCAAATAGACAAATTTCTGATTTAATTTGCATATTTTGGTCACCATCTTTCTTTTGATTGTCACAAGTGTTGTTTCCTTTGGTAATGCCATATTTTAAATACTTTTATACTTAATTTTACCACTGAAAACTATACTTAACGTTGGATTGTTGCTGAAACGAGATACATAGCTAGAAACCACTAAAGAAAATATACGTCACTTTTTTGACTGTAAGTATCAGCAGTTATGGTAATTTATTGAAATCATACAATTATTTATAAGCTTATAAATAGAGGTGCTATAAATAACTGTCAATTTATTAGCTCAGAAGCACCAGATGTAGATGTCTGATCAAGACAAAACAGACTGGTCTCGCTGTGTGGTGTGTCAAGAGGTAAAGCCTTCACAAAAATTACAGTGCCCAGCTGACACGAAACGTCAAAGCGATGCAGGAGCTGGATATTCTACGCTAGCTGCAAATATCTAAAAATTTCATGAGCTTGGATGCCTTCCCGTTAATATAAGTCCTTCCAGACTAGACGAGGGAAACGGCATTGAGAACACTTTTGTGAAAAATAATGCAAAATGGCATAAGGGCTGCTACACGCTTTTCAATGCAACAAAGTTAAAGAGAGCAGAAAAAAGACATAGCGGCGAATCAGATCAGACCGTAGCACAGAAGTATACCCGTTCAATTTCTAGTGATATCCCTAAAAGCGTTGCAATTTCTGTGATGAGATCAGTACACGCAGCAAGCCCCTTACGCAACGTGTCTACTTTTGGTTTAGACTCGTGAGTTCGTGCTAGTGCCTTCAAGCTTCGGGATGAAAAGTTGTTAACGAAGCTCAGTCAGGGAACAGACCTCATTGCTCTGGAGGCTAAGTATCACCCTGCGTGTCTTGCTCAGCTCTATAAGAAGGCAGACTCTCTAAATGAAAGAGCCGATCAGAATGAAAATGAAATTTCCCCTGAGAGTATCGTTTTGGCAGAGCTTGTTTCATACATTGAAGAATCAAGTGAATCCGTTTTTAAACTGGCTGATCTTGCAAAAGTATACCAATCCCATCTTCAACAGCTTGGGCGTCCTTCTACGGCACGTATTAACAGCACTCGGCTAAAAGAGCGGATTCTGACCCATCTCCCAAGTCTAGAAGATTACAGCGAAGGTCGGGATGTATACCTGGCATTCAGAGAGAAGCTTGGCAAAATTATTCGAGGGGCTCATGTGGTTGATAGCGACAAAGAAGCTATCCATCTGGTAAAAGCGGCTAACATTGTACGAAAGGACATGTTAACAACAACAAACACTTTCAATGGTTCTTTTGATGCAAACTGCCAGGAAAACTCTGTACCAAAGTCTCTCCTGTCCTTAATAAACATGATTCTTTACGGACCGAATATTGAAACCCAGTCCTGTAACCCGACTGCTAACCAACCTGGTGTGACCATCGCTCAACTTCTGCAGTATAATTGTTATGCACGTCGTAGAGGTACCAAACAAGAGCGTAAGAATAAATCATGTGAAACGCCAGTCACTATTTGGTGTACGAATATATGTATTGTTAATTTGTCATGATGATTGATGTTATCTGCTCATATTAATTTAATTTTAAATAATTTTAATGGCCAACCTGACATGCAAATTTTGCACAAAAATATTTTGCAGTCAACATGTTAACAGCAGATATTGCATCTGTATTTTACTGTTACAATACTGATAGTTGTCTGATGTTGTAGACGTGGAAATCATTATATATTAAATAGTTCTGCTACAGCTAGCCTGCAAACAGGCTCTTTGAATTGAATTAGAGCCTGCCGGTTTAGTCAATAAGAATGCGTCTGTGCCCATCACTATTTATAGTGTTGTCAATCAAATGTAAAATACAATGTGACAAATTAATACAGACACGCCTTATGTAATAGCCTGCGAATATAAACAAAACGCATATCTTGATTTCAAAGCACTTACAACAACATTAAAAGCACTTATCTTTCTTTCAAACAACCCTGAAATTTCCTGAAGTAGCAATAGTAATTGTGAATTCACATAAACACCGCAACGACTTGAGTTTGAACAACTACGGCGTCCTAGAATGCTCAAGAATGCAAATTATAGTCGCCTTTGTCTTAGAATAAAGATGCTATTGTTGATATAAGAACGTTGCCGTTGTATTTGCCAAACTCTCTTATACAGTACAGCTAAAACATCGTTTCCGTCTAGAATATTATTAAGAGCTTTTGACTGTCCATCCTTTAACTTTAAACAAAGATTTAGTTTTCTATGCACCTCGTCGCTATAAAACGATATTTTCGATTTGAATCTATTGTTGTGTAAATTTAATTACCTTTTATGGCAGTATAATGTAGTTAATTCAATTTCAACCAATGGGAACCCTGCGTCGTTCTAAGCAACGCACAGACGCGTTTTTATTAGCTAGGCCTGCAGGCTCTCTCTCAAATTTCAAAGAGAGTTCAAAGAGAGCCTGTTCGCAGGCTACA